ACTCTGGAAAAAAATCTTGGAGGCTACTTAAAAGCTGGACATCGATCTCCATTTGATCCAGCAATTACCACTCTTGGGGATTAACCCAAAAAGACTGTTACTCCAGAGGGCACCTGCACATCCTGTTTATTGCGGGCACTATTCACAATACCCAAGTTATGGAAACAGCCAAGACCCCAGCACTGACGAATTGGATTAAGAAAATGTGGTATCTATACACAATGGAATTTATGCAGCATGAAGAAGAACGAAATGTTATCATTCGCTGGTAAATGGATGGAATTGGAGACATCATTCTGAGTGAGGTTAGCCTGGCTCAAAAGACCAAAAATCGTATGTTTCTCCCTCATATGTGGACATTAGATCAAGGGCAAACACAACAAGGGGATTGGACTATGAGCACAGATAAAAGCGGAGCACAGCAAGAGGGGTGAGGATAGGTAAGACACCTAAAAAACTAGGCTAGCATTTGTTGCCTTAATGCAGAGAAACTAAAGCAGTACTTAAAGCAACTGAGGCCAATAGGAAAAGGGGACCAGGAACTAGAGAAAAGGTTAGATTCAAAAAGAATTAACCTAGAAGGTAACCACCCACGCACAGGAAATCAATGTGAGTCAATGCCCTCTGATAGCTATCCTTATCTCAAGACCAGCAAAACCCTTGTTCCTTCCTATATTTCTTATACTCTCTCACAACAAAATTAGAGATAAGGGCAAAATTAGTTTCTGCTGGGTATTACTGGAGGGGGAGCGGGAGGGGTGGAGTGGGTGGTAGGAGGGGGTGGGGGCAGGGGAGAAAATAAACCAAGCTGTGTATGCACATAATCGAATAATGAAAGAAAAATGAAAAAAAAAAAAAGAAACTCTTGAAGTGACCACACTGGTAGGAGCCCTTGCCCTATAGGAAACAGATTATTTAGGTCCTCCATAATTCACGAGGTGCTTGTCTTTCAATTTAGATGTAAAAACAATTCATGATCTAATTCACTCAGTTAAGGAAGAACTAGGACCAATTCCTTGATTTAAACTGGTTTAAAGCCATGCTCCAGTCCCATACTCTCACTTGTATTCTTCAGTCACATCACAGCCTTTGTTACACTGCAGTAAATCAATCATTTGTCTACTGCAGCACCCCGACTATCAGCAGGTTAAGTCAGGGACCACACCTTACTTGTTATTATCATCCCTGTGCCTGGCATAGAGCCTGAAATTTACTAGGTATTTAACAAGTGTTTATTGCATAAATAAGTAACATTCTGTTTGCATATCAATGAGATGAATAAACTTATTCTCTCTCTTCCTTCCTCCCCCTCTCCCTGCCTCTCTCCTTTGATACAGGGCCTTGCTATGTAGCCTAGGCTGGCCTTGAACTCCTGGGCTCTAACAGTCTCTTACATCAGCCTCTCATTAACTGATTATAGGCACATGTTTACTGTGCATGGCATAAATTCATTTTTGATATAAATTTTTACTTCAAAAGGCTGGCTAGGTTTTTTTTCAATTCTTTAAGTCAAGCAAACAAAAACAGAAAGTAAAGAAAGAAATAGGAAGAAAAGAAAAACCTGCCTTTAGATTAACTCTAACCAAGAATCATTAGTGTAACTTCTGTGGAGCACACAAATGACTATTACAGCTAGTTTCCATTGGGCTGCCAGGCATCTGTTATCATCATTTCACACTTAATCATCACAATAATCTTGTGAGGTAGATGTTATCATTACCCCATTTACAAAAGGAAACTGAGGCACAGAGAGGTTATATGACTTGTCTTAGGTCACCAAGCAGGTAATAGGCAAAGCTGGAATTTGAACTCAGTTCTGACTCCCAAAGCCTGTGCTTAACCTATATGAAGAAAAGGGGCTCAAGATAGCTGTACCTTAAACTTAATTTTGAGAGGACTTAATATAGAAATAACTTTTTTTTATCAATCTTTCCTTTATTAGAGTATATTACTTACACGAAAATTGGTTACAAGTAACTTCATAAACCTCATATGCTCATCTGGGAAAGCCTCTATGAGAATTATAATTCCCTTTTTTTATTTCCCTTTTTCATGTGGTCATGAGAATTTAGAGATTTAAAATCATGGCACATGGTGACATCAGTGAAATGATGAAGAAAGAACATAACAAAACCTCATCAATGTAGGTATAAAAAAATGTTATAAGCAGAGGAAGAATCACTAAAGCTTCTAAAAGAATAGAAGATGGATTGCTGCACAGGTGTGAAGAATAAGATGCAGCTGGAAGAAGGAAGAGAGGTCAAAATTGTTCAAAACTTTTGAAATTTTACAAATTAAGCAGCCAACCTAAATCATCCTTAAGGACATATTTGACTGTTATTTTCATCTTTAATGATTTGGCCTCTCTCAACCTGAGAAGCTGCCAGGATTTCCAGTACAAATCAAAAGTGAAGACCACACCCTGAAGCTGTGCCAATTTTTAGGCAAATACAGCTATCTATAGGAACCAATGCTAGCGGTCTGGGAGGAAGCAACAGGGTGTTTCTGAGACTGCAGCTCAGTTTTGTCTTCATAGAGTGGCCGCTCCTGCTTCATGGATATTCTCAATAGTAGAACAAGCAATTTAATAGGGACAAAGCCTGGATTTTCCTCTTTGTCTCTCTTAGTGCTTTGTGTTCTTGGCACAATCCTGAAGAGGCAGACAAGCCCTGTGAAAATGCTCTATCCAAATAAGGTATATCCTTTCTACCTGATAGAATCCTTCAGTTTCTAAAATCGTGTAGTTTGTGTTGTTAGAACCAATGAAGCAACTAAAAGAACTTTAAAAACTAACACATCATGCTGAGCAAGGTTAGCCAGGCTCAGAATACCAAAAATTGTATGTTCTCCCTCATATGCAGACTTTAGATCTAAGGCAAATGCAGCAATGTTGTTGGACTTGGGTCACACTCTAAGGGGAAAGCACATACAGGAGGTATGGGGATAGGTAGGAAACCCAAAACTTGAAAGTGTCTGATGTCCCCACTGCAGAGGAACTAATACAGTAACATTAAAGCAACAGAGGTCAATATGGGAAGGTGATCGGGAACTAGTGAAAGGATTAGGTAGAGATGAATCAATCTATTTTCAGGTTTAATACACTTGTGCATGGAAGCAATGTTAGGAATCTCTCTGTATAGCTATCCTTATCTCAACTAGCAAAAACGTTTTGTCTTTCTTATTATTGCTTATATCTTCTCGTCAACAAAATTGGAGAAAAGGCCAGAACCGGTTCTGCCTGGAAGCAAGGGGAGGGCAGGAGAGAGAAAAGGCTCAAACAATGTATGCACATATGAATAAATGAATAAAAACAAAACAAACAAACAAAAACTAAGACATCAGTCTGGACCTGTGTAGGAGAATGAAGGAGAAACACTTTAAAGTTGAGGGAAAGTACACTTAACATTTAGGATTATCAAGCACTACTGGTTTTCCATAATGTGTTTCTTTCTTGATTTCATCTGAAACAGAGATATGATTACTATGACTATTCAAAGTGTGGTGCTTTGCTAATGAGCTTTTGGCAAAATCCCCTTTGTGGTGGATTTGGGCCTTAACATGCTGCTAACTTGTTGGGTCAGTGTTTTTCAATAATAGAGAGTCCTTACTCAAGAGATTTACTGGAACTCAGGGGTGAATCTAGTAACAGGCAGTACTGGGATTTGAACTCAGGGTCTTGTGCTTGCTAGATAGGTGCTGTACTATCTGAGGTATGCCACATTTCTTCTGATTTTCTCATCAAGAAGCAAATGCCTTTTCCTCTGAAGATTAACACAGAAACTAGAGATAACAAGTTGGTGCATGAAGGAGGATGTACTACCCCATCCATACTTGAATGGACAGCAAAGACCCCTAGGGTTCTTTCTCCAAGTTAGGCATCAGCAAATTGGTGAAGGGATAAAGGAGGCTGCTACACAGAAGCATCTGCAAGAACAGTTAATCCACCTCCAGGCACATCTCAACCCTCCCTCCAACCAGAAGGGAACTTGGGAACCTGGATTTCTGATGCACAAGGCAGGTGGATGACCTTTCCCAAAGTCAGGTTTGGAGACTCAAGGTGAAATTTGTCCTTCTCGAGTCTCAGATGACCTTCAGGCTCTTCAACGTCATAGATTTTTTTTTTTTTGAGACAGGGTCTTCCTGTAGTCCAGGTTAGCCTTGAACTTAAGATCCTTCTGTTTCTGCCTCCTAAGAGCTGGATTATAGATGTGTACCACAATGCCTGGTGAATAGCATAGAATTTTTAAACTTTTACTGTTATTATTTTTTTTGGTAGTGGGGATTGAACTCAGGGCCTTGTGCTTGCTAGGCAGGTGCTCTATGACTTGAGCTACATCCTCAACCCTTTTTTACGTTAGATATTTTTTCCATTAAGATCTCATGTTTATGTCCAAGTATAAACTGTACTGTGATCATCCCATTTATGCTTGTGAGTATCTAGGATTACAGGCATGAGTTATGGCACCCAGCACATTACAGAATTTTTAGCTGAAAAGGTATTAATCCCCACACTTCTTGTTGAAGATAGTAAGGAAAAAAAAGTATATGGAGACAGGCTAGAGCAATGTGTTTCCTTTATGAATATTTTTCACCACATAGCTTAAGATAAACAGCATCTTTTTCTTTCTTTTTGGTGGGACTGGGGTTTGAACTCAGGGCCTCACACTTGCTAAGAAGGTGTTCATACCGTATGAGCCACTCTGCCAGCACAATCTTTTTCTTCAAAAATAATATTCTGAGGGGAGAGGTGTCTGTGGCAGGTTTTTAGGAATTCTTTTGATTTGTCATTTGGAAGAAACTGACATTGAGAAAGCACCACCCATTTGCTTCCTGGAGATTCTGTATTAAACTTGGCTCTTTGTAAGCAGGTATATATTGCAAACATTTAAGCAGTTAGGAACTCTGCATGTGAGAAGGAATAGTGTTCAGCTTGTGAGTGGAACTTCAAGGACCATTCACATATCAGAGCGGCACCATTGGGGGACCATGACTGTGCCAATTTGAGTGTTACTTGCATGATGTCTCCAGTGCCCCTATCAAAGATCAGTACTAGGGAAAGCAGAGAATGTCATATATAAATCACACAAGGCTCTTGACCTCTTGTACCTTAGTTTCCTTATTTGAAGAAACAAAATGGATCAAGACATACTATTCACAGAAATCATACAGGGCTTATATGCAGCTAACAGTAATGTTATGAGGTTTTCTTTTTAAAGACATAAATAAGTTTTGAAACATGTTTCTCTTCTGTTCCACTTATACTTGGTATAAAAACTGCATTCCATGCCATGCCTGGAATGTTCCAAAGTTCAATTCTGTGATTAAATTGCAACCAAGGTTTCTACAAAAAAAAAAAAAAAAAAAAAAAAGCCAAAGAAGGAGAGGAAAAAGACATTCTTTTAGAACACTCATCATTTGGCAGTGATTCTAACTTACAATGAATTGTAACATCAACACTTTCTCCATACGTTAAAGAAATCTTGCTGTGGATGATAATGGCTTATGATTTAAACTTTCATATTTACAAATCCAATGCATTAGATACAAAACAGTGAATGCTTGGTGATTCCCTGGGTCAAGTGATCTTTATTTCTCTACAACAGGGTTTCACAACTTCAGTGCTATTGACATTTTGGACATTTCTTTGACATTTGTCATTTATGGACAATTCTGTGTCCATTGCAGGATATTCAGTAGCATCCCTATTGTCTGCCCACTAGGTGCCAATAGCATATCCACAGCTGCCAGGTGTCACCTGGGGGTAAAGTCACACTGATGGAGAAGCACTGCTCTGGACTGTTTCACTCTGACCTGCAATGATTCTCACTGTCATCTTTGGTGCAGACTAAAGAACCTGCTAATTAATTTTAGTAACTTTCTACTAGCAAAATTTTAATTATCTTTCAAAATGAATAGCAAGAGTTCAGGCATAATGAAGTAACTTACACAAACTTCAAAAAAGGTAGTGACTCAAATGTCGCTCTTTCAAAATACTGTATTTTATTGCAGGATAAATCTCTAGGAAAAATAAAGGAAAAATTGCAATGATTAGCTATTAGATATCTAATTACCATAAACAGATTGAATTCTGGTGCATGGGTTTGGATTTATGGCAGGCCTGTCCCCCTGGGCCTCATAGCGTCCCATGCCAAAGCAAACTGTGGCCCTGAACCATTGCCTGGCCTCTCTTTCCATAGGCTGCTGGCACTGAAGTGGGTTGTACAGTGGAAAAATAAATAAATAAAAAATAAAAAAGATTGAATTCTGACTCTATAATACTGAAAATATAATTTTTTCTAAACTCTAAACCTTTGGATTTGGATTTGAATTTTCTAGAGCCCCAATCCTGCTCCCACCTAAGAATCCCATCTTCATGATTTTCATAAATAAAACACACAACTATAGATCTTGAGAGATTTCAGAGATAATCTTTCCTGATAGCAGGAGGATTATGTGACCTTTTATTCTCATCAAGTTCCTTATTTTGAGTGAAAGGTTTTAAATTGTATGTAATGGTAATATTAAAAGAAGTATTTTCATTCTTTCTTTCTCTGTCTCACACACACACACACACACACACACACACACACACACATACACACAAACACACACACACATACATGTATATATACTTTACTGATTTAATTGTTATTGTTAATCAGTTCAATACCAGAAAAAAGATACCCTTTCATATCATTTGAAAGGCAGTTACTCCTTTAATGCATGACTTTGAACTGATTCAAAATTATCCTATAATGTTAATACAAATTCATTTTTTGTTTCATATTGACTTAATATTCCAATAGGGACAACAAAAAAGCAACATGAACCTGGATACTTATTTGAAAACACCCAGCTTTACTACAGCTAATTCTCCTTCTTCCTCCATTCTAGCTTGTCCCTCACTGTTCTTCTGTTCCCCTGGATGGGTTTAATTGTCCTCACTGGTATCTCTACCTGTACTCTCTCCCTTTCTAATCAATTCTGAATAGTTATCAGATAGACTCTCCAGAAGTGGTTCTCAAAGACCAGCATTACTGGGAAATTTTTGTTTTGTTTTTTAGAGAGAGTCTCAGTATGTAGTCCAGGCTGACTTGAACTCTTGATCCTCCTGCCCCAGCCTCCCCAGTGTTGGGATCACAGGGATATACTACCATGCCTGACTTATTTATGTTTTTTGTGACAAGGTTTCACTATATAGCTCAGTGGTCTGGAACTTTCTCCTTAGCCTAGGTTGGGCTTGAACTTGAGATCCTCCTGCCTCAGAATCCTGTGTGCTGGGATCACAGGCATTTACCACCACACCCGCCATCTGGGAACTTTCAAGGATGCAAATTCTCAGGCTCCTCACAGTTGAATTAGCAACTGTGAGGGTGGTGTCCAGAATCAAGTTGTAACAAGCCCTCAGGAAATTCTGAAGCAGGCTCAAGGTTGTCTTAGAGCATGGCTCTGATAATGTGGTTCCCCATCTCCACTCCTTTGCTTGGCATTCACAGTCCTAGATGGTCTGCATGCAATCTCCTACTCTCCCTCTCTTCTACTCGGCAGGTGCTCATGGCATTCCTCAAGCACTTTCTTACCTTTTGCCTTTCTCCCACTCTCCTTTTTGCAAACTCTGCGTATTCTCCCCAAGCTGCCTTTCTGATGAGTCCCAGTGGCCCTTTAAGGTCCTGTTCAAGCAGCATTGCTCTGGTAACAACTTTCCTGACCCAGTTTGAGGGATTTTTCTTCTCTTTTGTGCTCTAGACACAATTTTTACCTCTTAATGTTTCTGTGGTTTATGGTTTAATGGTTATTTTTGCATCCCATTTCTCCTTGAAAGCATGAACTAGGTCTTGTTTGTTCTTCCTTGCCCAGCATGTTTGAGAATGACACAAATATTTGAGTAAAGCCAAATGTTTGTAAAGTCAATGATTAGCTGGGGAGTGAGTAGGAGAAGAAAAATGACTACTTAGAAGGAATGCAGTTTATTTCTTCCTGACCAACCTCTTCTGCACCTCTGCTGTATTATGGTTTGAGGTTATGTATTTGTTTCCCCTGGGAGCCCATGAGTTCTTAAAGGGGAGGAATCCTGTCTTACTCATCTTTGTGCCTCCCATACCAGGCACCACAGTGCATGGCATGTTCTATTTTAGCTCTTTTTTATTGGTACAATTTAAAAAGATGAAGCAGAATACACATGATAATGTGATATAATTAGCTTACAAGGTACTTCAAAGCAGAACTAGCAAAGGCCAACTCCATTGAGCAGTGATTTCATTTGGTTTTCTCCAAATTGTGTTAGCAAGATTTGGGAGTCCAGATGGCAGGGGAGCCCCGATAGACCAATACAAAAGTGGAGCCTAGAAGGGTTAATAATTCAAAGGACTACATTTTGTACCATGTAAGGCTCCTTACGCCTGCTTCCAAAAGTCATCTTTTGAAAGGAGAATTCTTTGAAAAAAGCTCCTTAGATTAGTAAGCTAATTAATATAAGCATTTATAAGCTTAATGAAGTACACATGACTGCACCCCATGGACAAAGGACAAAAATCAAGCTTTCAAGGCAGAGAACATAGTACCTTGTTATCTCTGAAGATAGAAATACTAAAAGCTGGTGAGATTTTTATTTTGTAATTAGTGAAGAGTTAGGGGAAGCCAGGGGTGGTAGTAATGCTATATTTCCAGATACTCAGGGTTTAGAGGCAAGAGGATCTCAAGTTTGAGGCCATCCAGGCAAAGGTAGTAAGACAAGTACCACAAAAAGAAAAGAAAAAGTTAAGGACGGTTCTGGTAGGCTTACTTAAGTGTAAATGTTTCTAGGTAACCACTTAAGCATCATTTTAAATGTTACTTTGTTTTTAAGACAGGTCTTGCTGTGTGGCACAGGCTGGCCTCTAAATCGAGATTCTTCTGCTTCCACCTGCCAAGTGCAGGGATTACCAGAGTGCACCACCACACCCAGCTTCAATTATCTATTTTTATCATGGGTATAACAAGGACTAGAGGCATGCTCAAGTGGTAGGCACCTAGGCCCTTAGTAAAAACCCTAGTACTGCAAAAGCAAAACAAAACAAAACAAAATCAACCAATGGGGATAACAATTTTTGGATTGTAATCATTAATACTAGTCTGTTCTCCTGGTAGCCTAATCATTTTGTTAATATAAGGTTAGCAGTCTTGTCCATGATGTACAGCCTCACGGAGGCCCAGAAACAATGGAGACTGCAGGTACGGAGCTAAATCTCTGAACTGAGCCAAAATATATCTTTTCTCCTTAAAGTTTTTCCCAGGCATTTTGTTGCAGTGACAAAAAAGTAAGTGACATAAGCTCTTTAAAAATGTAAAAAAAAAAAAAATTCTTAACTTATAAGCTATACAAAAACATGTGGATTAGATTTGACCCATGGGTTATAGACTAAATATAAAAACAAGAAGTATATGAACACTTACAAAACAAGGTTCATATGAGTACCATAATCACTTGGGCCTTAATACCAGTTTTCTGCTGTAAATGCAGTTTCTTTCTTTCTTTTTTTTTTTTTTACATTTGTATCTTGTCTATATAATTTTTAGCAATCTGAAAATGCATAAGAAGTATTTAGTGCCAGGGATGGACTGAGACCCACTCAGACTTACATAAGTGTAGAATTTTTTTGCTGGAGGAGATTTCAGAAATTATCTCATTTGAACCCTTTATACATTTCATAGATAGTAACTCACAAATAAATGTGATCAACTGACTAATTTACAAATACTCGAGGGACAGCAGGCCTTCAAATGAATCCTTAAGTAATTCAGTCAGGCAATTTTCACTGAGAATTCTGGAAGAAGGAAGGTTACATCTGGATCAGAATTCATCAAAAAGATGGACAGTATCAAGTGGTGAAATGGGGAAATGAGTACTGTCATATTCTGTTACCTGGAATGTAAGTTGGCACCACTTTTTGAAGGGCAATTAAAATTCCCTATCTATAATAGTCTTCACCTTAACCATCCCATTCCAAAACCCCTATTGTACAGGAATACTTGTCCATGCTCACAAGTGCAACAAGAAAACTTGACATGCTCTAAAAAGAATAAGGAATTATGAAATCAACCATGACGTGTCCATACTATGGAATATTAAGCAGGAGTTTAATTGAATAGGGAAAGTTCTATGCACAGGGAAGGAAAGAAACATGACATAGTGAAGAGAAAGACTCAAGAGGCAGGATGTTACCATTTATGTAAAAAAAAGATATGAAAATCATTCAATAAAACTATTTACTGTATATAAATGTGCATGTAGGCAAATACACAGGAAAAGATCTGGAAGGATAGATACCAGACTCAGAATACTGGTTACCTCAATAGTGGGGAATTATGACAAGGAGAGTGTTCACTGTACCTGTTATTTCACTTGAAAACAGAAAATCAATCTAAGTTGCCTCTTATTATTTCAAAGAGGAACCATGAAAGTTTATTTTTCATTTTGGCTACAGGGCGTCATGCATGCAAGACCTCTATCACTGAGCTATAACCCCCAGTCCCTATGAAATTTAATGTTCAAAATAACCACAGAATTTCAATCGATAGAGGTCAATCCAGGATGTGGAGAGGAAATACTTTTTCTCAGAGATACTGACCTCAAAATTCTGGACCAAGGAGGCTCTTACAATGAAGTTTTTGTATTCATATTTGGAAAGAAAATACAATTTCTCAGTCCAACGATATGCTTTCCATGCATTGTTATCAATGTAATCAATATCATTTCCATAGAAATTTCTGTGAAGAAATAGTTTATATCCTTGAATAAGTAGGAAAATAATGAGCAGAATAAGTGAAAGAATCTCTGCAACCTGGGGGATGGGATATTCAAATACAGGAAAAGCCACCAGTTTTCTAACTTTCAGAACTCCCAGTTTTTCAGTTTGCACAATTAATAAAGAAATAATGTGGGACCAGTGACACAAATGGTGAAACATCTCATCAGAAGCTTAACTCCCACCTGTCCAATCTCTTGGATATATAATGCCAGTCAATTACTTTGAATGCAAGTATTTTTCCCGAAATCATTTGTGTTTAAACTGACTCCTACAAATCAATGAGAAAAAGATAAAAAATTCACAGGAAAATTGGGAAATTTTTATCATTATTAGCAAATAAGAATAAAGAAACTCTGAAAGTTAACACCAGAGCTTTACCTAAGTGATCTTAGGAAGGATGAGCACGTAGAAAGAAGGAAGTGCATCCCTGAAGGGTGAGGACAGTTAGAAATGAGGGGAACTCATGTGATGATGTGGAAAGGTCTCTGTTGCAGAGGGGAAAGCACAAATCTGAGAAGGAGTGAAGTATTACCTCATCAGGGAGAAACTGCAAAGGAGAGAAAGTGGAAGGAAGGACACACGGGGTATGTAACAGGGGTTATCTTATGGGTGGTAGGCATGGAAGAGTGGGTGATAAAGGATATGAGGGGGACTGCATACTTTCACATTTTTCCTATATACTTCTGTGATCTTTTGAGGTTCTGGGGATTGAACCCAGGCAACATGAAAATGCTAGACAAATGCCCTATCACAGAGCTACATCCCCAACCATTTGTTTTTTGAGATAGAGTCTTGCTATGTATTGAAGACTGGCCTTGAAGTTCAGGCTTTCCTGTTTCAGCCTCTGGAGTGGCAGGATTAAACATGTGAGCCACCACACTCAGCTTTTGAGACTCTTAAAAAGTGGGAATGTATCCTTGGGTAACACATGATTAAAAGAAACTGTTAAACCAGGTTCCAGTGGCTCATGCCTTTAATCCTAGCTACTTGGGAAACTGAAATCAGAAGGATCATGGTTTCAAAGCCAACCCAGGCAAATAGTTCATGAGACCCTATCACCAAAAAAACAAAGCACAATGGACTGGAGTTTTGGCTCAAGCAGTAGAGCGCCTGCTTTGCACACATGAAGCCCTGAGTTCAAAGCCCAGCTCCTGCCAAAAAGAAGCTATTAAATACCTTATGTTCAGTTTTACTCTGGATACCTCTGAACATTTATCTTTAATTCTGTCCTTACCCCTCAGCAACACTCTCCTGTTCAGTTTACATACACTTTTTCTGGAGGTGGAATTCACCTGCCTAGTGGACATTTCCACTCAACCACAACCTTTCTAATTTCTTACCAATAAAAGGGCCTAAAACTGAACTCAATTCCCTCCAACTGGCTCTTCTTCCTGACCGCTGTTTTTCCACATGGTACCCATATCCTAACAGGACAGAAACTATGGAGTCATGTTTGATTTTTCTCAGCTCTTTAGTCTTAGTCCCAACTCTTTCATCAGTCACTAAATCCTCTGTGTACTTTCTATGTAGGGAATTCCAGGATTTTCTGTCTATTCTCATCACAAACTCTGACTCACTCCTTCTTACTTAACCTCTACACTCTGCTAGAGCTTTGTAGGTGGTCTCTTTGAATTAAACTTTCCCCTCTAGATCATGCTACATAGGGATTCTAAAATAATTCTCCAGAATTATGGTTGGTTCCCTATGCTTGGGAGGCTGAGGAAGGAGGAGAGTGAGTTCAAGGCCAGCCTTGGCTATATATAGCAAGACCTTGTCTCCAAAATCAAACCAAACAACAACAAATCCTCCTGCTTTAATCATTTGTCTCCTTCCTTGGAAATGGTTAGTGACTCTCCACATCTCACTGTAACTTTCAAACTCCTTTACTTCATATTCAAGGTCTTTCATAATAATATCGATCATTGCTTACTAACCCAATTCTTTGCAGGCAGCCTTGTCTACTAAAGCCTGACTATTGCTGCAGCCACCCCTTTGCCTAGTCTGTTTTAACAATTACAGTCACTCTCTAAGCTCCAGTAAAGTTTCAGCTTATCCTACAGTTTTCCATAACCTCCACAATTCAGTGATTACAGATTCTGAAGAATTACAGCTCCCAGAGTCTGATTCTCTTTTAGCATTTCATTATATATCATCTCCCCTTTTTATGCCTTTTTCTTTTCTTTGCATCTATCATTTTCATGTTCTGGAGGCAATGCCATAATTCTGTGGCTCCCACAGAACTTAGCCCTGGATTGGTCACAAAATTGATGGAATATATAGAAAATCAAAGGACAAAGATGAATTCTGGACATAACTGAGGGACTGAATAATATTATTAATAGTTAACATTCATGTATATGCTAAGTATTCAGATAACTATTACATATATTCATTCATCTAAATCATACAACAATCCTATGAAATGGAAACTATCATAATTCCCATTTCACAGATGAGGAAATGGAGATACAGGGTTAAATAATTTGCTCAGGTGTACAAAGTTAATAAATGAAAGACCTAGATTCAAACCTAGGAAGTCAGGTTCCAGAATCAACTCTTCACAACTCCTTACTCCTCACTAATGAAATGAGTTGTAAAGAGGGTGGACCAAAACCGGGAGAGCAAAGGTTCAGCAGTGATATGAAGCAGCTGAATAAAAGTGGATAAGGAAAAAGAGAAAGGGCAATTGCGAGTTAAAGAACAGGGAAGGGAACCACGGTAGAAGGAGAACGCCGACAAGGAAAAGTTGATAAGCAAAAGGTAAAAGCAGACAGTCCGTGTGGGTTGGGGAGATGAGGAAGGCCCAGAAGACCTTGAGGAAAAGGCTGCCATGCAGGCAGAGTGCAGAGCACAAGGGAGGAAAGGTGGATCTTACAGGGTGGTGAGGACCTTCTTGTAGGTGTTGGGCTTCGGCACAGGCACTCGGCGGAGCTTCTGCGTTGGGCTGAGACCAACACACAACAGTGACTCATCTCGACAAGTACAGAGCTCACATATGTTGGTGTACGGGGTGGCATTCGGTTCCGTTTGCACAGTTAGCGCACTTTCTGTGGTGGGATTTACAGAATGTGCAATAGTGGTACGTTCCAGACCAGACTGAAGCTGTTCTGAATGTGGAGGTGTCACCTCAGGGTGCTGTGGAGGAGCAGTTGTGGTGTTATTTGCCTCTGTAACTGCCAACGTTGGACGCTGAGCCTGATCTTGACCTGATGTTGAAGGCTGAATTTTAGTCTCTGCAGCTGGCTTTGGAGGCTGAGTTGAGGTTTCCTGCATAGATGAACGTTTAACCTCTGTGGTAGGTTGTGAAGATTTGGTAAGCTCCAGCTTTAAAGTCTTAACTGTGACTTGTGGAAGTGTCACCTCCACCTTTGGGGGAGGAGCTGTTGTCTTCTTCAGAGTAGTAGACTGTTTGGACTCTGAAGTTAAGGGAACTCCTAGAGCTAAAGGTTGAACTGTGACTTCATTCAGGTTGGGATGCTGAGCCTGATTCTGGACTGGATGTGGAAGTGTCACCTCAGGGTGCTTTGGAGGAGGAGCTGTTGTCGTCTTCACAATGGTAGAATATTCAGCCTCTGTACTGGGTTCTGGAGTTGGGGTAAGTTCTACATCAAAAGGTCGAACTGTGACTTGGGACAGATTTGGATGCTGAGCCTGATTCTGGTCAGGATGCTTTAGGGTTGCTGTAGGCTTTGCTGGGGCTGTAGTAAGGTTAGCCCCTGTAGTGGGTTCTGGATTTATGGTAAGTTCCAGGCCCAAAGTTTCAAATGAGGTACTGTGTGGTATTGGATGCTGAACTTGATCCTGATCTGGGGTTGGAGCTGTTACCTCCTGATATACTGGGGGTTGAACTTCAACATCTTCTCTAGGTGGCTCTGGAGGCTGAGTTGGGGTCTCCTGCACGATGGGAGAAAGGTCAGGTCCTGTAGTGGTTTCTGTAGTTATGGTTAATTCCAAGTCCAAAGGTTGAAATGTGACACTGGGTGATGTTGGGTACTGAACTTCATCCTGACCTGGTACTGGAATTGTCATCTCCTGTTGTACTGGGGATTGAGGTACAACCTCCATAGGGGGCTTTGTAAGCTGAACTGGGGTCTCTTGCATGGCTGGAGAAAGCTCATCTTCAGTAATAGGTTGTACAGTTATGCTAAATTGGAGATCCACAGGTTGAATTGTGCCTTCAGTCAGACTTGGATGCTGATCCTGAATCTGGACTGGATGTGGAAGTGTCACTTGAGGGGGCTTTGGAGGAGGAGTTCTAGTCTTCTTCACAGGTGGAGAATTTTTAACCTTTGTAGTGGGTTTGGAGGTTATGGGGAGCTCCAGATCCAAAGGTTGAATTGTGACACTGGACATTGAATACTGAGCTTCATCCTGACCTAGTATTGGAACTGTCATCTCATAATGCACTGGAGCTTGAGCCGTGGGCTCTGGCTGGGCTGGAAAAGGCTGAGCCGTGGACAACAGCTGGGCTGGAGAAGGCAGAGCTATGGACTCTGGCTGGGCTGGAGAAAGCTGAGTTGTGGATTCTGGCAGGGATGGAGAAGGCAGAGCCATGGGCTGTGGCTGGGCTGGAGAAGGCTGAGCTGTGGGCTGTGGCTGGGCTGGAGAAGGCAGAATAATGGGCTCTGGCTGGGCTGGAAAAGGTTGAGCTATGGGCTCTGATTGAGCTGGAGAAGGCTGAGCTGTGGGCTCTGGCTGGACTGGTGAAGAGTCAACATTTTCAGGGAATTGTGGAGTCTGGGAAGGGGAACCAGACTGGGTCAGAAAAAGTTCAAGTTGCTCAGTGGCATCTGTAGAGTTTTGAGTGTCCTGCTGGACTGGAATGGGTTCAAACTCCACAGTGGTCTGTGGAGTCATGGTAATCTCCATATCCACATGTTTATCTGTGGTTTCTTGCAAATTTGGATGCTGCTTTCTAAATATTATTTCTAGATCTTGAGGTGAAAATGATATGCTATCTCCCAATGGAGGAAGATCACTAACCTCCTCAGAGGATTCTGGAGACTGAGTTGGGAGTTGTGGCTGAATTGGTGAAAGTTCAGTATTCACAGGGGGCATTACAGGAGGAACTGAGCTCTCCTGCTGGCTTGGAGAAGGTTCCTCAGGAAGCTCTTCTGGCTGAGCTGTAGCCCCTTGATTGATTGGAGAAAGTTCATCCTTCTCCCAGGGTTCTGGCTTCTGAGTTGTAGTCTCATGCTGGGTTTTCAAAGCTTCAGACTGTTCGGAGGACACTGAGGACTGAGCCGGTTGTTCCTGCTGGGGTGGAGGAGGTTCAGACTCCTCAGCATGCTCTGAGGCCTGGGCTGGAGCAGTCATGTGAATTCCAGAAGGCTGAGCCTCCCCAGGAGACACAGATGGCTCAACTGCTTGTTCCTTCTCACTGGGAGAAGGTTCTGCCCCTTCAGCAAACTCTGAAGGCTGAGTTGGAGAAGATGCAGCCTCCTGGGTAGGCTCTGGAATTTCCACATCACAGGCTTACCCGTAACACTGGGCGAGGTATCCTGTTGACCTTGATCCTGAGCTGGAGGTGGAACTGGAGCCTCTTGCTCAACTGAAGGCTTAACTTCCTCAGATGGCTTTGCAGGCTGAACTGGAGCTTCTGTCTGGCTTCCAGAAGGTTCTGATTCCTCAGGAGGCTCAGAAGGTTGAGCTGCCTGTTCTTGCTCACTGAGAGAAGTTTCAGTCTCTGAAAGAGGGCCTGAAGGCTGAGGTGGGATCACTTGCTGGGTTGGAGAAGGTTGAAGCTCCTCACCACACTGTGGAGGCTGAATTGGGGACTGCACCTTGGTTTCAGAAGTTTCAGCCTCCCCAGGGGATTCAGAAGGCTGAGCTGGGGCCTCTGCCTGGGCTAGAGAAGATGTAGCCTCCTTGGCAGGCTCTGAAGTTGTGGTGATTTCCACATCCACAGGCTTACCCGTAACACTGGGCAAGATACTCTCTTCAGCTTGATTCTGAGCTGGAGGTGGAACTGGAGCCTCTTGCTCAACTGAAGGTTTAATTTCCTCAGATGGCTTTGCAGGCTGAACTGGAGCTTCTGTCTGGCTTCCAGAAGGTTCTGATTCCTCAGGAGGCTCAGAAGGTTGAGCTGCCTGTTCTTGCTCACTGGGAGAAGTTTCAGTCTCTGAAAGAGGGCCTGAAGGCTGAGGTGGGACCACTTGCTGGGTTGGAGAAGGTTGAAGCTCCTCACCATACTCTGGAGGCTGAACTGGGGACTGCAGATGGGTTCCTGAAGTTTCAGCCTCCCCAAGTGATTCAGAAGGCTGATCTGGGGCCTCTGCTTGGGCTAGAGAAGATGTAGCCTCCTGGGTAGGCTCTGAAGTTGTGGTGATTTCCACATCCACGGGCTTACCCATAATGCTGGGCAAGATATTCTCTTCAGGTTGATCCTGAGCTGGAGGTTGAACTGTCACCTCCTGACTTGGACCTATACTCTCCATAGGGGACTCTGGAGCTTCAGTGGTAGCCTCTTGATCAACAGGAGGTTTGACTTCTTCAGGAGGCTCTGTAGGCTGAACTGGGGCTTCCATCTGGCTTCCAGAAGGTTTGGTGTCTTCAGGGAGCTCTGAAGTCTGAGCTGGAGCCACTTGTTGGGTGGATAAGGGTGTTATGTCCTCAGTACTCTCTGAGGCCTGCTGGTGGCTTGGAGAAGGCCCTGTAGTTAGTGTAACCTCCAGATCAACATGTTTCGTGGTGACTTTCGGCACGTTTGAAGGCTGAGCTTCATTCACATTTGGAGATGGAGCATTTACCTCGTGGTGTACGGATTGCTCTACCTCCTCACTACTAAATTGTTGAACTGGGGCTTCTTGCTGGACTGCAGAAGGTTCAACTTGCTCAAGGGGTTCTGGAGGCTCATCTGTGCTCTCCTGGAGTTTTAGAGGAGGGCTGTCAGAATCAGCTGTGCTCATTCCTGGATCTATGTAGTCATCCTGCAAGGGTTGTGTCTGAAGCTGAAGGTTTGCAAATTGGTGTGGAGTTCCAGCCACAGTCTCATCAAGTCCCTGATGTTGAGCAGCATCCTTCTTCAGTTTCCAGCGTGAAACAATAAACTTTGCTACTTTTGAAATCTGACGATCAAGAGGTGGAACAAGAATATCAAATGCTTGGCCATCCGAAGCCTGATCAACACTGACAGTCTGAGTCTTACTTTTGAGTAGAGGAGGCAGAGCTGGGGCCTGATTCTGGTCTCCATTGGGCATCGGCACCGCTTCTGGGGGTCTCTCAGGCAGATTTAGCTTGTCATTCAGCTCCTGCTGTGCAACAGCAAATGGATCTGGCTCTGGAGATGGCTGCCTAGTAGAATCCCGATCCAGAAACGGAAGCAAACTGTCAGTCAATAAATGAGGTGGGGCGAGCACCTGCGGGGCAGCAGATGCCCCCAGATAATCAAAGTCCCCCCGGTCTGCCCGGGGTGTGAGCATCTGGGGCGAGTCGGGAAGGAGGTCCAAGGAGTGTGAGGACCAGGGCTCCATTGGCCCCAGCACTTTGGAGGTCAGCTGGACCGAGTCCTGGGCCCTCCTCGGAATGGGAAAACCCTGGACCAAAAGCCACAATTCTAAAGACATAAAAAGGAGCCTTGGGGCCCAAATCGTTAGAGGGGACATGACACGCAACACGGACATGTCATAGACTAAGCGAGAGTCAAGGGAGTAAAGCCTCCGGCAGCTTCTTCCCTAGCTCACCTTGGCACAGCGCCTGCCCCGCCCCACCTTTTCTTTATGACACCATTGTTTAGGGAACAGAAACTTTTTTAAGGCTCAGCCCAGTTGGGCTCCACGCCCTGCAGTAAGGACCCAAACTCCTTTCCCCTAGAGGAGGTGCAAAGCCTTGTACAGGGCCCCTCCCCGACAGCGAGGCGGGGATGGAACTCAGACCTGGGCACAGCAGCCCACTGTGGGGGGTTTGGCAGGGCGGGGCTCCGGGGATGTTCCCAGGGCTCATCTGGTTCTGGCAGCCTGAGCTCCTCCTCTTCCGAGCTGACACCCAGAGATACTCTTCCACCCCTTGGCTGAACCTAAGAGAAGCAACTCACCTGCGAAACCAGGGCCAGTTAGGGTGCAGGCAAGAGAATGCACATTAAGGTTATTTATTCCACAACGCTGCCATTTCCTCTAAACTCCCAGTGCCGTGGTTCATGATCCACCACTCCCTTAGTTGGGGCTACCAGAGAATCAGGGATGACTCCAAAAGCTCTGCAGGAGGGGTCTTGGGCCGTGGGCAATTCAGCCTGACACAGAGGGTTAGAATCTGAGATGGCCCTTACATCAGCTTGGGGAAGCATACCCCACTCTGCCTTGGCTCAACGCAGTGAGAATCTAGCTGTGACACCACCACATTTCAGAGGTCTACCCCATGTGCATATGTGGACAAGACATTGGCTTCGTTCAGAACCCTTCTTACAATGATCTATTTTACTGTATGTTTATTGTCCACCACCACCTAGCATGTAAAGTCCCAGAACAGGCTTCATCCTGTTTATTCCTCTTGACTTGCACAGGGCTGGATACATGCTGATGGTTTTAAAATGAAACAGATTCCAAAAGTCACCTCATTTACGGACGGATCTGTTATAATCAGATTTCTACAATCAATGCTGACTTCTTTCTCATTTCACAGAAATCCTCCTAAAGTGTGAAGTGTCTTTAACTGGTTTCATTTAAACTGAACTAAACTAATTATTTTAAATTGAAAAAGCTTCAAATGCTTTTTCAGCTTTCTCTCTACCGTTTGAAAACAAAACATTTCACAGCTTCAGGGTAAGATAAATGATCAAAAATCCCCAAATTAAGTTCCCACTGACATGAAACACACCTTTTGCTCCTCCCCTTTGAACACATCTTATACATAGTAAGTAATGTCTATTTCTTTCTAGAAATTACCTTGGCAACTTAAGGACTTTCATACAATTGATTTATAGAAAGGTTCTTTGGAAGGCAAAATATTCTCCTTGAGACATGGGGAGATGCTGAGATTTAGGCAGTACTACATCCCTGAAGAGATTGACCCAGGCTAGACCAGGGACAATATGCCTATTGTAAGGAATACGGACACTGGAAAAAGGAATGTCCCAGGGTCGCCCGGGACCAAATAGCAGCCCTAATAATGACGCCCGAGTCCTGTTAGCTGGAATGGACAGTGACCAGAGGGCACGGGACTCGGACCCCCTCCCCGAGTCTCAGGTAACCATATATGTGGAGGGGAAGCCCGTGAGATGCATGGTGGACACAGGCCCAATATTCAGTCCTTAATAAACCTACTGAGCCACTGTCCCAGAGAATTAGCCTTGTGCAGGGAGCCACTGGATCCAAGGCATATCAATGGACTAGCAAACGTCAGGTGGATTTGGGCCGACATCAGGTGACCCACTCCTTTCTGGTCATTCCTGAGTGCCCTGCCCCGCTTCTGGGACGTGATCTGCTAACTAAGGTGAGGGCTCACATTCACTTTGAGCCGGACAGTATCAAAGTGACAGATGGACAAGGGCAGCCCCTCCAAGTCTTGACCATGTCTCTCGAGGATGAACATCGCTTGTTCTCCTTGCAGGACCCTCCCCCGAAACCTATTGAGTGGTCCCTGAAATGGCTTATTGGATTCAAACCTACCCCCAGGCTTGGGCAGAAATAGCAGGTGTGGGGCTGGCAGAACATCAAGCCCCGGTAATAGTAGAGATCAAGGCTTCGGCTCAGCCCATCCGAGTCCGTCAGTATCCCATGTCTTCTGAGGCATGGAGGGGCATTGCCCCTCACATAAACGTCTCCTGGAGGCTGGAAAATTACGGCCCTGCCGTTCTGCTTGGAACACTCCACTCCTCCCCTCCCATGTTTGGTATACCACTTTGGACTTAAAGGATGCTTTTTTTAGCATAGCCCTGGCACCCAATAGTCAACACATTTTTGCCTTCGAATGGCATGATGAAAATACAGGGACACCCGGACAGTAAACATGGACTAGACTTCCACAAGGTTTCAAAAACTCCCCTACTCTGTTCAATGAGGCTCTTAATCAGGATCTGGACTATATCGCCGGAGCCACAGTTCCGTCACACTTTTGCAGTATGTAGATGACTTGCTTCTGGCAGCTGCATCTGAAGCTGAATGCCGGCAAGCCACTGGAGACCTCTTCCAGGAGCTGGGGAAGTTGGGCTATCGGGCCAGTGCAAAGAAGGCTCAAATTTGTAGACAAACAGTCACCTACCTGGGGTATGAGCTAAAAGAGGGAACCAGATGGTTAACGAATGCTATGAAAGAAACTATTCTCAGACTTCCCGTCCCCACCTCGGCTCGAGAAGTCCGCGAGTTCCTGGGGACGGCAGGCTACTGCAGGCTGTGGATATTGGGGTATGCTGAACTGGCAAAACCCTTATACGAGGCAACTAAGGACAAGGCCCCTTGGGCCTGGGGGCCAGATCAACAAAAGGCCTTTGAGGAGCTCAAGACTGCCCTCTTGAGAGCCCCGGCCCTGGCGCTGCCAGACCCTCTAAAGCCCTTCACCCTCTTTGTAGACAAAAGAAGGGGGATAGCGAAAGGGGTACTAATGCAGCGCCTAGGGCCCTGGAAGCGGCCAGTTGCTTATCTATCCAAAAGGTTGGACCCAGTTGCAGCAGGCTGGCCCCCATGCCTGCGGATCATAGCGGCAGTTGCCCTAATGGTAAAGGACGCAGATAAGCTCACTTTTGGGCAACATCTGAAGGTGGTAACCCCCCATGCAGTAGAGGGAGTCCTAAAGCACCCTCCAGGTAGATGGATGACCAACGTCCGACTGACTCATTACCAAGGGCTCTTGCTGGATGCTCCCCGAATCCTCTTCTCCAACCCGGTCTCTCTAAATCCGGCCACCTTGCTGCCAAATCCGGACTTGGAAGCCCCTCTACATGAATGTCAGGAGATTATAGCTGAAATCACCCAAGTGCGCCCTGATCTCCAGGACTCAACCCTACCCAACAGTGAACTGGTATGGTATACAGATGGGAGTAGTTTCGTCTTGGATGGGGTGCGTAAGGCGGGCGCAGCGGTGGTGGACCAAGGTGGGAACATAATTTGGAGTGCCCGCTGCCCCCAGGGACCTCAGCCCAGAAGGCCAAACTGATCGCGCTGACAGAGGCACTCGAGCGGGCTGAGGGAAAACGAGTGACTGTTTATACCGACAGCCGTTATGCTTTTGGCACTGTCCATGTACATGGTGCCATCTACTGGGAAAGGGGTTTCATTACAGCGGAAGGAAAGGAGTTACGTAACCTCCCGGAGATCCAGAGACTACTGACTGTGGTGCAGAAGCCCCAAGCTGTGGCGGTAGTACATGTTCCTGGTCACCAATCTGCCCAGACTCCAGAAGCTATGGGGAACTGGTGTGCGGACATAGCGGCCCGAAATGCTGCTTTGGCCTCCACGACCCAAGTACACCCCGGAAGACAGACAGTGGATCTAAGATCACCGATGCCCAGAGTCCAACCAGCAAGGCTGGTATCGTGATATCGAAGGGCGGCTGATCCTTCCTGAAAAGTTAGGACTGTTTCTCTTCTCCAATTTACATCGAGCCAACCATTTAGGCAAGAAGAAACTACTCAGCCTCCTCGAGTCGGCCTGCCTCCGGTTCCCGCATCAAACAGCCCAGATTCAAAAGATTGTGGACCAATGTGCCGGGTGCCAGGCTATGAAACCCAGGTTTAAGAGGGGTCTCCTTGTATCATCTTTCAAATTACCATGGGAATTATTTCCATTTTGCAAATTGGAAAAAAAACAGTTCAATGAACAATAACCATGTTGATTCTACCTCTTCTAGATTTCCCTGTGAAAAAAATGGCAATATGTAATTTAGTGCACTAATGAGATCACTTTCATCATTAAAGCTGGCTGCTCATGTATGAAGCCAGAAAAGCTGACACCATTTTGGTCCTCATTATCGCCTTTCTGGTTCAGTACTCAGCTCAGTGCTTGTGATGTTCTTCCAGGTCTGTAACATCTTCATGAATTTTCCTTCTGTATTCCCTACAGATGCTTCTTCAACTGTCAAAAAAAAAAAAAATTGCTGTTGATAAGGGAAGACTGGTGGACAGTTTTTCTTTATCATTCCATCACCACACATCCAAGTCAAATAAAGTAGGGGTAGGCAAATATTTGAGTGTCATTTAGTGGGAGAAAAATAAGCCCTAACTTAAACCTACTAAATGGTAACCAAGAGAGAAAAAGATATCTTTGACAAAGTAGCTACCTACTCAGAACATTCCATACTGTGGAATACAGGAACTCTATTTAGGACAGCCAATTGCCCAATACTCAATAAAATAGAAGACTGGAAGACAAATATTTGCCTGCTCAGCAAACCTCTCTTCACATTCACAATCCCACACTGTCCTGTCTCAGACACAGAGTAACAACAAGGCTTCTTCTCTCAACCTCCCTTCTCCATACTGTGTTCTTCCTACCATCACAGAGGACCACGATGAAGGACAGTGCTATGAGGGGAGCATTCTTTTTGCTAAGAAGTCCTCAGCTGGCCCTGTCCTCCACCTGCTCCCATGTATCCTCAACCCCACAACAGAAGGCTCTACACCAAACCAAACAAAACTAAAACAAAAACACTATATCACTCCTGGCTCTTTCCTTAAATCTGGGCAAGGAGCTGG